GGCTTTATCCTAGGACATCAAAGTTTTTGCGGGTGTGGGTGTGGGTGGGGGTGTGCGTGGGTGGGTTGATGTGAATGTCATTAAAGAGAAGAGACCCACACCCACACACCCACCACACCCTCAAAAACTTTGATGTCATAGGATAAAGACCAATCGATGTAAAAAATGATTCAGCCATCGTATACATATCATGAATGGAAATGTTTTGTTGAAGTAATGCTTCAGTGATATTAACAAGTGGAACATCGGAATAAGGAAGCAAATCATCAAAACGTTCATGCCTTGTTTGAGCCCACATATTACCTATACAGATTATACACTAGTATATGCATAACAAAATGCTCTGAGAGTAGCCATTGAGTGATTGGTATATGACACATAATGCAGCTAGCTATGTATCACAAAGAAATTGTTTTATTTTATTTATGTGGAGTAATTCTTTTACTTAATTCTTCAGAAGTTCGATAAGAAAGTACTTCAGAGATTATGATGAAACGTTATTGATACAGAAGTTCTTTCTGTCGTATTTGACAAAAAATGAATCTACCGAGAATATGAGATGGAATAGGTCCATTGCAATTAAAACGATTTGGATAGATTTCACATAGACGACCTCGAGCATAGGCATGCAGTTGTTCATATAATGGCATGACATCTCGTAAAATTTGACCAATAGTATCTTCGAATTGTTCAAAATCACCCATTTCATATTCTGCAATCCATATTGTCTAAATACAAAATAAAATACTTGATCAGTAATTATTTTATGTAAGGCTCAGGTGACATAAAACAAGTGATATTCTAATAAAGCACGCTTCTTCTTTGGCCGTTATTCTTCATATAGCTAGTCAAAACAACTTGAGCATTTTAGCTGAGAAAGTGAATATGAAAGCAAAACACTGCAAATACAGTGTTACATCTCAATCATAGAAAAATTCTACATGAAATAGTATTTTCAATAGTTCGTATTCATTTTCCTCCAATATTGACTGTATAGGGTAGAAAATTCAAGAATCCTCAATAAATAACACCGAAGGAATGAGTACATCTTCAGCCTAAAGTATTTGAAGTTGAAGGCGATTTATTCAACGTCTTTCAGCAGTCCATTTGATCGAACTATGCTATAACATTCGTTCGAATTTTAGAATTGAACTCGTGTAGCCACATGAAATATATCAAATACTTTTTTTCGCTCGCTTTTTTGATGACTCGCTTATGCTACATATAACTTAGGCAATCAGCAGCTACTAAAACATATATCATTGGGATTAATGGTGACTTTTTTCAATAAGCCCCTAAACATTTTGAAATAGATCCCATAGCTTGATATGCCATAAGCAATGTCTTTTAAGAAAACCTTACGACTTGTAATAACCTATATTAATGTGGCGAAATCAGCAAGTTACCGATAGATCTTTCTATCCGTTTTCTTTAACATTTTTATTCAATAGATCGACATAAGATAAATAAACTGGATGAACTTGATTTCCACATCCATCATGCCAACCTTTCCATGCCCATATTAAACGATCATAATCTTTTTCAATTTGCATTAATCGTTCGAGATAAGGTGCAAGTGTATAACATTTATTCGAATCATTTGGTTCACACACTTTTGCTGTTGCCTAAATATCTTCTAATTTAGCCTGTAATTCTGAAGTTCTTTTTACATCTTCCGTATTATTACTATTAACACCTAATGCTAAACGACCAAATATATATCTTAAATCATCATTTTTAGAATATTTCATGTGTTCATTAAATAGTTTTGCTATTGGTAATGCTAATTCAGAGAATGGTGCTCGAATAAGACTTTGAGCAATCAGGATTTTTTCATTTGCTTCCGTTATATTCGTTGCAAAATTCCAACTGAGATTAGCATCTATCTAAATGACATAAAATGAGTGTTGAATCAAAGTGGATGATTTCTCTTACCTGATAATATCTTTCGTTTATACGAAGATACTATATTAACCATTGTGTAGCAATCTCTTCATCTGAATAATCATTGATGGTTGGCATTTTTTTCATATCTTCTTCATTTACTTGATTTCATAATGTTATATTAACACGATCATTATAGAATCAACTTCATTTTCATAATTATTTGAATATTTGAACTTGAGATCGGTATGTTCTTGTTTATCACGAATGGTAATTGTTTTTTCGAATTTACCTTGATCTTGTTCATTTAACTCGTGAATAATTCGTTGCAATCGTTTTCCAAAATAACGATCTTGGTCTCGATTTAATATTGAAAATTCGAATGAATTAATCAGTAATATAATAAAAAGAAGAATGCAATTCTTCATGATATTCTGATTTCAAAGAAAATCTACCACAAGGGTTTAGAAAATAAAGTATTAATAGAACGCATCTTATATGCTATTTAAATGTCAACATATAGCTTTATGAAAGGTAGGTTGTCTGCTATTTGTATCTTTTCTTTTTCATTGTATACATCCTTATAAAATGCAACCAAACGAAAACGTTGTCAATACATGATTTGTTGTAGGAAAATTAATAAAACAAATTAGTAATATTGAAACTGACCTGGGATTTGAATTCTTCGTCAACGTTTACCTTTGATAAGTTTGCTTAAAAATACAAACATTTAGAATGCAGAGTTCAAATTCGATAATTTGATCACCATTATCTAGGATGTGAGTATGGGTGAGTCTGGATCCCGAAGACAAAAGGCAAAACCAGCATCCACACCCACACCCCGTTAGTGTCACTAGGCAACTATACATGACTTGGATTAAACTAACCTAATCGGTATATAAGAGATTCTCAATTTTGAAACAATCAATACTACACAATATAAAGTTGTGTTCGTCACATTTTATACACATAATAAACGAAACTGCAAGTCAGCCGACTGGTTTTTATGATAATATCATTTTCTACAGTGGCCGTTTATACATGTATAGAAGAACAATTCTTTGATAATACTTGTACTCTGCAAATTTTGCTTTTTTTGTGTTGTATCTTTTTTTTATTCATCATGTAGGACTTTTATTCATTTCAAAGTATCTTTATAATAACCAAAACTGAACATATGTGTCTCTATATTTATGTACGTATTATATAAGTCTTTGTCATACGTATATTCAAAGGCATTCGCATGATTTTTTTCATGAATGATTTCTTTTACAGATCTAAATCATTTTAAATTAAAATTACAACTAGTATATAATTTGTTCGTTCACTATTTTCATGACAGCAAAATAAAAATTAGTCAAATTAGACGTGAGATGATATTGCGTAAACAAACCATTTTTTACCGATTGCTTCTCGACTTTCAACAAAAAAATTGCAATTCATTAATGGTTGTCTACGATTTGTACTTTATAATCTATTCAAATGCACTCCGATAGTCATATTCATTAACAACTATCGTCAATCTCATATGTTATACATTTTATGCAAATGATGATCATAAACTTTTCCAACCTATATTGGAAAAATGAAATAGAAATGGGCATACGATTTATTGCATACTGTAACGATAAAAGATGTTAGGACAGGCTGGATAAGGAGTTTACCGGCATCCTCGGTAATGATGTTTATTGAGCAACTTCACATACAACACACGCTTATATAGGAAAAAAAGAGGGAAAGATGAGCACAGGAAAGAACAATAGAGAGAATAAAGAGGAAAGGAAAATCATCAGAGCGTGTCAACAATAGCGTCACACGTTGGTCACCTAATAGTTCCGATTTTGATCCATTAGATTACTGCATTTGGGATGAATTCATTAAGATCATTAAATGGAATAGAGTGACATTAAGAGAAAAAATGATTGAACAAAATGTTGTTTTTGAAAGTTGCTCATCTTGGATATGTCGATTGAATTGAATGTCACAAAAGGACGGAGACTATTGAAGATAATGAAAATATGTGCATTTCGTACAGAATTGAACAAGAAATCTTTTCCTAAGGAAAGTTTTTTTGTGTGTTGAAATATAATATGCGATTCGAGAAAACATATTTTCTGTTCTAGTATATTATGATAATAGATTAAGATGCTTTGACAATAGTAACTGACAGTTTACTACACGAACAACATTTATTCAAGATAAAAATAATGAAATGTTTTTAAATTGCCGTCAAAGTGCTGTTTCTGTTGCATGTCGTCTTGTATTTTGTGGATTAACTTTGGTAACAGTCATCAACATGGAAATATTTGATTGAGATGCTTGCCATCGCTGACGCAGATGATGAGGCAATAGTTTGATCAGTGCTTTTATGAATGTTTGTCGAAATACATGTGATGTTAATATTGATAGATAAAATGATTTGACATTGTTCAGATAGAAGCAGTAATTTGTAAGCCAATAGACAAAATTAATAATAACCCGTTGTTCAGAGGTTCTATTACTGACAGGAATATAATAATACATATACATAATCGACCATTGAAATGTAATGAGAGCTGTTACTATAACTTGTGTGAAGATCATAGTAACGAATTGTTTTCGAGAAGAATGTGTCTGTGCCCTTGCTGTTCCACTCTAAAATAAACGATTCTTACCTGTTTCCAGAGAGAATTAATGAACTTACTACTCGTTGACGACTTTGACGAACATTCTTAAAAGTCAGCAAGACAAAGACAAGCATTGCCACTGGTTGCATAAGACATTGAATCACAATATACAAAATATTATTGATCAGCGGATATGTAACTACACATCCTAAGCCCTTTTTATATTCGTAAAGCATGAGTCCACGAAGTGAAGCGAGACAACTCGCGATAATAGTAATACCAATCAACCATGGTGTCATTTTAAGTTTATTGAGACGACGTATGGGTGATGCCAGTTTACATGTGCAAGCATATCGATCAATAATTGACATCAACAAAAAATTGATGGACAAATGAGGGAGAAATCCAAGCATAAAAATATAAAACTTGCATAGATTGGGTATTCTCATCCATGGAATATATACTTTATATCTTGAAGTCAGATAGAGTGGCAATGTATTGAATAAAAGAACGGTAGCATCAATGATAGAACCTAAGAGTAAATATAGGCAACATGTATTCGACCGAAGTTCAGTTTGAATAAATGTTAAAGCATTGCCAATGAATCCGACCAAACCAAGAATGACAAATATTAATGGAAGATGATTCACAAATCGTTCCAACAAAAGATTAAGAATAACGATTGTGTTTGTTACTTGTGTTGACGTAACCATGGCTGTCGTGCTGTTCAATGACATTTTGATGGATTATTGCTCAAAAAATGACCATATAATACTGCTATGTGATATAGCTCTCGTATTTATGGTCTATCATTTTTTTTCTTCTTCTTCCATAGCCGCTTAAGGCTTGGATAACGGCAAAAACAAGTTTGAAAAAGGAAAAAGGAAGACGATGACGTACATACACAATTTTGAGTTATTTTAACTTAGAAGACTATTGCTTTAAGCTTCCCAACCCCTTAGAAAAGTCACTTTTCATGGGAATGATCGAAATGAAGATAAATATAGGGGAAGATAGTCCGTGATCTGATCTCTCATGAACAACAAATATTTTTACTCGGCACTTCGTTTTCTTCAAAAAACTTTTTGAAGATTTTAGTCATCCCTTTTCGAAAAATTTGCATAGGTTTCCGATAATATCTCTAAAAGTTCTCAAAGGAGCTTAATTGTAGCCAATAACTTCTCTTTTTGTTTGAAAACTTGTGTTTATGGCTTGGAACTTTCGTGGCCCTTTTTAAAATAAGGTTTTTTCTATCATATAAGAAAACAGCTGTATAGATACAGCACCATTTTTTAGGGGCTTTTCGAATCATTGAACTGACTATCTTTCAAACAAAAAAAAATTCAAATGTATAGAATGAAGGTCCTCAGAGAATTTGTGGAGATTAAATGAGCTATTTTTTATCCTTATTTGACAAATATCTCTATCAAACATCATAGTGTATGACTGAAAATTTTACTATAGCTTTGCCACACCAGCTCCAATATATCCTAAAAGTTTCATGCAATGTGAATGTTGCTGGTCTAAGAACAATTTTTGAGAAGGAAGTTTTAATAATTTATAAAGTAGATTCTTTGGCAAAATGAGTTTTATTTGGCAGAAACAAATTAATGAAACTTGGCGACTCTTTTGAGAGAAAAACCAAACTGTTTATTTAGATGTTAATCAAATTTGATTACATAGACAAAGAATGAGGAAATTATTCCTAGTAAAAATTTTGTATATATGACTAAAAATAATGGATGTAGCACAAAGCTTTCAGATGATAGAAAACACTGACATATATGAAAAGAAACTAGATTAAAAGTCTACTGTGATGCGGCTAGTAATTTGACCATGGTAGCAGGAATGAGTGACTATAGTGTATTGTAAAATCGTGTTTGTTTAGCAATGGTGTTAACAAATCTAGATCAGTTTTTTTAATTTCGTCTTTGAAAGAAGATATGACACTATAAGTCATTAAATAATGTTGACTACAAAGATCAGCAGTGGGACGAATCTATGCCTAGTCATTAGGGCAAATTAGATTTTGAAAATTTAATTTTTTATTTTATCGAATCATATTCGCATTTTTTTTCAATAGCTTCAGGTACATTGCTTTTGCTTCGACCGAAATAAAAGATTCACTGAATATTTACAAATATATAGAATACAAGCATATCTCTCTTAAAATACTCGAAGCATATTTAATTAATTTTTTCAAATTATACTTTAATACGACATTCATACATGCTAAAGTTGACAAGGATTGAGAATAGACTTTCTAACAGATTATCAAATAAGAACAAGATGACGTGAGCAAGTAGATTATCTTCCATGATTAACAGAAACGCCTTCATCATCAACAAAAAAAGCGCGCGCGAGAGAGAGAGAGAGAGGAGGAAAGAACCAGAATAGTAACGTATTTACAGTAAACATTTTGTAAGATGCACTGAGAGCTGCAAAAGTCAAGTCAAAGATACCCCAAGTCAAGTCAGACTTGACTTGGTCGAGAAAATTTCGAGATTTGACTCAGAGCTACTAAATACTAATTTTGAAATGTGATGCGCGAGAGTTCGCATGGGATACAACTGAGGTAAAATTCTTTTACAATAGGGTGCATGGCGTTTCTTCTAAAATAGCAGAGTTTATTGTAAAACTATTGAGAAAAAACTTGTTTAGAGAAAACAACATTCAGTTCGGCTTTTTCTCTATTAGAAAGCAACGTTTTTATTCATTTTTCCACACAAAAATACTTTCAAGGTTAGATTATAATTTAAAAAGCAATCTAATCAACAAAAGAAGGACAAAATTTGGCATTAAGACATGTTAAATATTGAATC